TGGTTTGAAGGTGCTAGACTGATGACTACCAGAAGTGGTCAATTTGCAAATTGTGCTTCATCACATTGTGGTGCTGATTGTATTAATTAGGATAAAGGATTGTGATTGATTCAATGAGCTGTTTTCTTCAGTATTATGAAAATGAGAATGTCTATGAGTCATTAGAGACCCATGGGCTGAAGCCCAACTATATTAGGAAGATTTAAGTAATAACCTAAAGGTTAAACTAAGGACAACCCAACAACAATAGTAAAAATGAGAAAACGGGTCTTTATATTTGGGGGGTCTGGTTTTTTTTGGAGTTCTTCATATATTCTAGATAGTAGAGCTTTGTTTAAAGAGCAGCTGGTGAAATTTTTTTCCCATTTTGTAGGCTGTCTCTTAGCTCTGTTGGTGATTTCTCTTGCAGTGCAGAAGGTTTTTAATGAGATCCCAGCTGTTGATTCTTTGTGCAAGTTCCTGTGCTACTGAGGATTTGTTCATAAAGTCTTTTCCTAAGTCAATGTCTTCAAGAGTTCTACCTATTTTTCAGCAAGTTTAGTGTTTCTGTTTTAATATTTAGATCTTTAATCCACTTGGATTTAGTTTAATGCATGGTGAAAGATAGGGGTCTAGTTTTAAACTGGCAAGTTGAATCCAGTTCCAACACCATTTATTAAAGAGACTATCTTTCCTCCAGGGAGGATGGTTGGCTCCTTTGTCAAAGATGAGGTAGCTGAGTATGTCTGCTTGTTTCTGCATCTTCTAATCTATTCCACTTATCCTGAGGTCTGTTTCTTTGCCATGGTGTTTTTTAAAAAACTTTTAAATGTTTTATTAAATTTTTTTTTTTAAAAACGAGAGATACAGAAAACATCAGTGGTTGCCAGGGACTAGGGGAAGAGACTGACTACAGTTTGCACAAGGGAGTATTCTGGGAATGATGGCAGGAACCTATAATCCCAGCTACTCCAGAAATGGAGACAGGAAGATCACAAGTTTAAGGCCAACTATGGATGGGCAACAAAGTGAGACTAGAGCTAAAAAACAAAACTATACATTTGTCAAAATTCAGGCTTGAGACTTAAAGATGTGACTTCACAGATGTAAATTGTAAATTTTTGTTCTTTTGAGACAGGGTCTCACTATGTAGTGTGGGCTGGCCTTGAACTCATGGCAATCTTCCTGCCTCAAGCTCCTGAGTGGTGGGACTACAGTCATGTGCCATCACACCTAGCTGTACTTTGTAAAAATAAAGACAGATATATTGAAACACTGGAATCAGACATTTACCCTATGCAGAAAAAAAAATACTAAGGCTTAAGAGTTTTCTCTTGCAGACAATAAAGACAAATTACTAGGGCTTAAAGCAAAGAACAGGAAGATGAAAAGGACCTTCAACATAAAAAACTTTTTAAAAACAATATGTTTATGCAGAGGTAATTTTTTTGTTTGCTTGCTTTTGTGGTACTGTAGATTGAACCCTGGGTCTTCATGCTGAGCAATATACACAGACTTTTTTTTAACTTTTGAAATTATTTTATTTTATTTTTGGTACCAGAGATCGAACTCGGAACCTTACGCTTGCAAAGCAGGTGGTAGAACCACTGAACTAAATCCCTGGCCCTAACTTTTAAAGATTTTATTTTTATATTTTTGGTCCTGGGAATCTGACTCAGGACCTTGCACTTGCAAGGCAGGCACAGTGCCACTGAGCTAAATCCCTAGTCTTTTTAAACTTTAAAAAATTTTGAGGCAAAGTATCACTAAATTGCCGAGATGGGACATAAACTTGAAATTTTCTTGCCTGATGCTCCCAAAGTGCTGGGATTACAGGTGTGCACCACTGTACCCAGCTGGTAATATTTCTTTCTTGTATTTCATTTGATAATTTGACTTGGAATTTTTCCTCTGGAAATAAAAGTGGTTTTTGTTGTTGCTGGGGATCAACCCCAAACCCTTATGTGTATACACTGTACCACTGAGTTATACTGCCATCCAGAAATGTCCATTTTTTTTGGTTTTGTTTTTTGGTACCAGGATCAAACTCAGGACCTTGCGCTTACAAGGCAGGTGGTGGAACCACTGAACTAAATCCCTGGCCCAGAAATGCGTATCTTTAAATTTCATTAAATTCTCAGGCAGTGAACAAGGAAGGCATTAGAACCATAGAGGGACCTAAACATAGTTCCATAAAGCATTTACTGTGAAAAGGAAAGCATATTTCTTTATAATAAAAGAATTTTAAACAAGCTGTCAAATCTTTAAATACCAAAATTTAAGGGTAACATGCTACTTATAAACTACATATTTAGCAAAAACTAAATCTACTTGTTTATAAGAAATAATTTCACAATATACATATAAACTTGCACAATATTCAAGAGCTCTTCAAAGTCTATCTGCAAGGTCCAAAGGGAAGCACAGTGGTCTCTGCCCATCCAGCTCAGAGCCCAGCAGATGAGCTGTAGTGCTGTGGGTGCAGGATTCTCTCCTGATGACCTCCCGCTGCAGGCGGGACTTGTCAAAAGGCACTGTCAGTTCACTCTCCCTTTGGTTCTTTACAGCGCAGATGTGGGAGACGCCTGTGTCAGCCAGGAAAGCAGGCATTGTGCTGGAGTCTGGGAACACGAAGGGAGCAAAGTACACAGTTCTGTGCTTGCTTCAGAGGAATGGTGCTTCTCCAGAAATGTCCTGGAAGGCTGATTTCTAAAGCACTTCTTTTTTGGTTTAGGACTCAGCTTCATCACCGTCACTTTGGTCATCATTCGCCTCATCATCTTCTCTCTTTAAGCATTCAGGTACTCACGAGTCAAAATCTTTTTTTGGTAATGTATCTGCAAGAAAATGAAAAGTTTCCTATTCCTCTGCAGTATTTGCTAACTCACTGTAAGTCTGTGTTTTCTTTTCTTTTCCACTGCCACGTCTGTAGGAATAGGTGGCTGGATACTGAACAAAGAGCTCCATGGCCTTGGCTGGTGAGCACCGGCGCCTGCTGGACACTTAGGGGAACTCTTCATAATGACCCGGATAAGAGACAGGGGTAGTGACATGAGCTGCTGCTCCCTGCACTAGTTCTTGCCTATGGCCCCATCTGCACCATCTTCTCATTCCCACACAAATTGGCAGCCAGCTGGCGGTTGCCCTGCAGCACCTTGGGAGTCGTAGTCTGAAAGGGAGCTACCCATGATGCTCCCTGCACCCTGAATGCTCAGATTTACAGGCACCATGCTCTTTTTATCACAGTGGCTTTGTAGTATAGTTTCAAGTTGGGGGATTGTGATACCTCCTGTCATGTCCCTGTTGCTTAGAATTGCTTTTTACTCTTCTAGGTCTCTTCTGGTTCCAACTGAAATTTTGTATTGTTTTCTCAAGTTCTGTGAAATATACTGTTGAGATTTCAATCAGGATTGCATTGAGTCTGTACAGCAGTTTTGAAAGTATGGCCATTTTCACTATGTTCATTCTTCCAACCCAGAGCAAGGGATGTCTTTCCATTTTCTTATGTCCTCTTCGATCTCTTTTTTTCAGAGTGCTGTAATTTTCAGTGTAGAGATCTTTTGTCTCTTTCATTTGATTGATTCCTAGATACTTGATTTTTTGGGATGCTATTGTGAAAGGAATTATCTCCCTAATTTCTCTCTCAGTGAGTCTGTTGTTTGTGTATAAGAAGGCTATTGATTTTTGAGTGTTGACCTTGTATCCAGCTATTCTACTGCATCTCATGACTTGCAATTTTTGAGTACTAATATTTTATTCTGACTCCTAAAATATAAACATGTACCCATAAAAATTAAAGAAGATTAATTTATAAGAAAAGAAGCGATGCATAATGATTGTAATTGTAATGCCCACAGTTTTTCCATGAGTGGTCTCGTATACTTTCAAACACAGTAATTTTTCCACAGGCTGTGCTTTTGCAGCTCATGCTGTATGATGTGGCACTCTTCCTCTTGCTTCTCCTGGAGATTTCTTCTTTATAATTCAAGGCTAGGGAGAAATGTCTACCTTTCACTGATGGAGTCCTGACTATGTCAAAGTATCTCTCTGTAACCCCTTTCTACTGCTGTAGCTCCTCGAATACTTCTCTTTTATTATTCCTTCTTTCTTTTCAGTGGTGCTGATTGAACCCAGGACCTTTTTATGTGCTGTATCCCTGAGCTACACTCCCAGGCCATGCAATTCTTTTGAGTTTTCTTGCACTTGTGAAGTTACTTATTGGACTTCCCCACTGTGAGCTTTGCAAGAGAAGAATTGAGTCTTAAGAGGCTGTGATCATTCATATAAAATGCTTCTATAAAATGGAATATTACTCAGCCATAAAGAGCGAGAGAATAGATTCATTCATAGGAAAATGGATACATATTGAAGATATACTCCTAAGTGAAATAAATAAGTCCCACATGTGTAAATACCAAATAGTTTCCCTGGTGTGAATATTCTGCAACAATGCATAAGATTCTAATAAGATTACTGACATTTAGAAATGGGAGGAAAGGAGCTAAAGGTGTAGGGAAGGTGTGATACGTAGGGGAAGAACAAAAAGGGAAAAGAAAAAAATGTGATGGCAGAGGTAAGGGGAAAAAATGAGAATCAAGACTTGTCATGTAAAGGTACATGATCCCAACAATGAATGTAACTGTACTGTATCCCTAAATGTACCAATAAACTCAATAAAAAAAAAAGATGCTTAGCATACTGCCAGTAGCAATCAATATTGATTTCTTTTTTTATCATTTGTATTATCACACCTCCAGTGTATGCAATATGGTAAGTACTTTATTGTTTGGTAAAAAGTGAATTAAAATTTGATGTTTATGGTAGTTAGTATAATTATGTCTCAGTTGTTGGATCTAGGCATGTTTAAATTTTTATATTTTCCCCTCTTTGTTCCTTTATATTTTAAAATATCCAGTTAAGATTCTTAAATATTCTTTTTATTTGTTTTGTGTTTTCCTCTCTGAGAAATGGCCATGTGTTTTATTCAATTAAAGGAATTAACTTAATGGATTTTGTTTCAGGCGTGAAATAAAAAGTTTTGGAGTGAAAGTCAGCATAGTTGAACCTGGTTTCTTCAGAACAGGAGTAACAGAGCCGCAGCCGTTCTTAGAGAAAATGAAGCAAGCCTGGGATGAAGCGCCCATGCATATTAAGAAATCCTATGGACAGCATTATTTTGATGCTTGTAAGTTTGTTTGTTTTTTTAACATAGGGAAAAATGGGTATGGTTGTATAAGAAAAGGAAGGGGGGGCTCATGAAAAATGATTTGCAAATATAGTGAGAACAAAGGTTCTTAAAATTTTTTTCTAGGACAAGAGGTCCATAAGGTCCCAGTGTACTAATGGTTTGGCTCTCACTGTTGCTGAAAAGCACACAGACAACCCAGTGCCAGGATCACCCCTAATCTAATGTGTCACATATTGGCCTGACCCTCTGGGCACTAGGGGTGCTCTGGGTTTCAAGGCATGGAATCTCTTGTCCTAAAAGTAAGGCCTCTAGAGGGTTCAGCAGAGCTGGCATGAGATGTCTGCTTGACTAAAATGCAGTCTGCAATGTGTCTACCATCCTGTGACAGGAGGGAAGGTGGAGGTGAGGAGAGGTAAGTGGGTGAGCACCCTGTTTGTAGGACCCAACAGACCAATGCTTAGGACTATACGTCCATGTAGAAGTTCACCTTATGGGAATGAGATAATTTAATTTCATGTAAGAAAATCATTCTGGTGACCTGTAGGAGTGGCTGGTGTGGGTTGGAGGCAAAGCTGTCCTCTTAGTGGAAGTAAGGCATTGACATCGATGTGGGTCTGTATCTCCCTGGGTAAAGGGTTGCTTGTCCTTCACACCAGAGTCAGAAAATGGCTGAGGCTATGGGGAGCAGCTTTCAGTTCCATTGCACAGAAGGGCCCTGTGGTGATAGCAGCAGCCAAGGCACTGGCTTTGGGAAGTGCAGTCCATAGAAAAGGAGAAGGGGAAGGGCACACATAGAAGACTCCGGACCTAGATGCAGTCTTTTGGCTATACGGGCCTATGAGGTCACTAGCACCAGAGAAGAGAGAAGTTGGATCAAGAAAAGGTTGACCAAAAAGTGCTGGAGCTTCCCAAAACTCATACTAGTTAGGAAAATGTTTCCCAACTTGTCAGAGCCTGGCCATTGTTATAAGCTCTTTCTCACCTTAGGTTCCCTCACTGATAGGGAACTTGCTTCCCTCTGGATGCATAGAATATTGAAATAGAAATCAATAGGAAACTAGAAAAGACTGTATTCACCAGGGGTGGAATATATACATTTTCATATATATGAATATATATATAAATTTGATGAATATCTATCTATCTATCTATCTATCTATCTATCTATCTATCTATCTATCATCTATATCTTATTTAGGCCCTGGGTTTGTTCTTCAACACTGGGAAAAAAAGAAGACAAAGAAAAATATGAAATATTTTAATACTGCTTTTTTTCCCTACTATATCCACAATGGTGTTCTATAAACACTATCAGTATAAAAGTTATTCATTATTTTATATTTTTCATATTAGTCTTTGTAATTGCTGTTTATTTTACACTTGCATAATCTATCAAGTTGGATGCTAAATTTTCCTAGCAAGTATTACATCTGTATTAGTGATTTTTTTTTTGTTTTTTTGAGACAGGGTCTCACTATGTAGTTGAGACTGACTTGGAACTCACTATGTAGCCCAGGCTGGTCTTGAACTCACAGCGATCCTCCTTTCTCAGCCGCCTGAGTGCTGGGATTACAGGCATGCACCACCACATCTGGCTCTGTATTAGTGATTTTTAACAAAATGTATAATTGTCAACAGTATTATTCATAATAGACCCAAAGTGGATACAATTCAAACCTCCATTGGCTGATGAATAGATAAACCAAATGTGATATAGCCTCACAATGGAGCATTATATGGCAATGAACAGGAGTAAAGTACTGATATATACTATGATAGGGGTGAATCTTGCAAAAGACCACTTGATTTATAAGAAATATATGAAATATCCAGAGAGGGAAAAATCCATAGAGACAAAAACTTTGGTTAGTGGTTGCCTTGGGTTGGCGGTTGATGAGACAAGAGATGACCACTAATGGGTACAGTTTTGTTTTGTTTTTGAGACAGGGTCTCACTATGTAGTTGAGACTACCCTGGAACTCACTATGTACCCAGGCCGGTCTTGAACTCACAGCAATCCTCCTGCCTCAGCCTCTCAATTGCTGGGATTACAGGCGTGTGTCTCCATGCCTGGCTCAGTTTTTTTTTTAATGTGCTTTTATTGTGATGGGGATTAAACCATGGGCTGTATACATGGAATGCCAGTGGTCTATAACTGAGGTACTTTTGGGGTTGATGAAAATGTTCTAAAATGGGGTTTTGGTTGTGGTTATAGAACATGGAGTATACAAAACAGTCATTCCTTTGTACACATTAAATGGCTGGGTATTAAGATGCATGAATTATAACTCAAGAAAAGAATTTTAGAAAGTTTCCAGTTGGAAAAGTAGATTCATATACCTATTTTGGTACAAATATACTTAAAGTTTTTTAAGTGAAGGAATTGAGCTTTAAAAGTAAGATTTATTGGGCCAGGGATTTAGTTCAGTGGTACTGCAACCTACCTCACGAGCCCAAGGTCCTGAGTTTGATCCCCAGTGCTGGGAAAAAAAGTTAAATTTATTAAAATAAAACTGAAAATTTTAGTAGTTATATTCTTTTTTTTATTTTTATTTTTTTATTTTTTATTTTTATTTTTTTGTACTGGGGATTAAACTTGGGAGCTTTCTTTGTGAGGCAGGTGGTGGAACCACTGAGCTAAGTCCCTGGCCCAGTTGTTATATTCTTAATGCTGAGTAGCTCATGTGATTAGTAGTTATCACAGTGAGAAGTACAGGTCAGGATCATCTTAATGCCTTTAGAATTTAACAGAGGGTAGAGCTTTGATATCTCATGTAACAAGATCTTCAAACAGTGTAAGGAGCTGGGCATCAGAGTACATTTCTGTAATCTCAAGTCTTTGGATGGCTGAGGCAGGAAAGCGGCAAGTTCAAGCCAAGCCTGGGCAATTTAGTGACATAGCATATCTTGTCTCAAACAAAGCAAAACAAAAAACATAAAAATGGCCAGCCATGTAATTCAGTGCAGAGGTCTAAGGTTAATACCAACTACTCACCCAAAACAAAAACAAAACCAAAAGACAATATAAAGAATGTGATTGCTAACCTTCTTTTCTCTTTTTGTACACAGTTTACAACTTCATAAAGCAAATGATGCCGAATTGTAACACAGACCTGTTCCTGGTATCTGACTGCATGGAACATGCTCTGACCTCTGTGCACCCACGAACTCGATATTCAGGTGGCTGGGATGCAAAAATTTTCTATATTCCTCTATCTTACTTACCCACATCACTGGCAGACTACATATTGACTAGATCCTGGCCCAAACCAGTGCAGGTAGCCTAAAGACAACTGGTTTTGGGAACGAACGTCACAAAGGTCTGAAATTGGTTGCTAGTGTCTCAATAATCCTTATTTAGAACTCAGGCTATTTGTAACAATAACTATTCTTTTCTAAACTTATTTGTCTGACATGATGAGAGAACCAATCCGCTCACAATCTAGATATCTAAAGTGTACTACTTTTGGTGATGGATCTCTACTCTATTTTAAACTTTTTTTTTGTTTTTGTTTTTATTTTTTTTCAGCTTTAATTGAGTTTATTGGTACATTTTAGGGATACAGTACAGTTACATTCATTGTTGGGATCTTGTACCTCTACATGACAAGTCTTGATTCTCATTTTTTCCCCTTACCCCTATGATATTCTTGATTTACTAATTTTAGTACTATTGAAATTGATTTCAGTTGCTTTGCTAATGTTCTTGGTTGACTTTCTGGTATTGAAAATGGGAATCTAGTATTTTTATATCATTTCCTGCCCATTATATTAGTTTCTTCTGTAAACTGGCTGATTGTTTTGTTTATTAAGCCCATTATCTATTTAGTCATACCTTCTTTAAGATCATCAACCTGTCTTTTATATCTTTTATCATTTGAAATAATTCAGCTATGTGGCTTTTGATTTCCTCCCCCATGATGCCTCACAGATTAGCTATGGGAGAGTTGGAAATTTTGGGAGGCATTTTTGGCCTTGTTTTCTCATATTTCTATTAGATTTTTTTGTTTGTCCATTTATTTTTGTGCTTAGGTTTTTGGGTTGATTACAGTGGACTTTGTTGCTAGTATGGAGACCTCTTTAGTTACTGTCTACTTTTCAGTGATGCACTCTGGGAGTGGCTAATTTAGATTTTAACTCTGTCCCAAGATCCAACCACCTCCATTAATTTGGAGTGTGGGAGAAGTTCCAGGCTGGCTGGGCCAGGTGCGCCACACTCCTGTCTTCTGAGCAAACTCAAAGACCTCTAGAGCTCTGAGGCTGAGCTAACTCACCTAAGTGCGTAGAGGCTGGGTTTAACAGGCTGTACCTCCACCCTTAGTCTGTGACTCCATTGCCTCGCCCAAGAAAAATCACATCACCATATGTCTAGCCAATAAGATATCGCCCCGTGTTCTCCACTACTACATAACCCATAAGAATGTGCCATGTAATTAAATGCTTCTCACGTGCTCCTCCCCCATGGTTGTCCACACGTAAGCTATATAAGCCTGTACATTTTCTAAATAAAATGGAAGCATTCCAGAAACCTCCCTGGAGTCTGTCTGGTGATTCCGTGCCTTCCCCTCCTGGTCCGAGCTCCTGAACCAAACTTCGCAGACCAAGCAGTGGACGACAACAGGGGAGGGAGACGCATTGTAATTGACTAAGCAAGAAGTTTTTGGGGAGTGGGCAGCAGTATATTTAAAAACTGAAAGGCAATCCAGATTTTGGCATACAGAGAAAACGAATTAATAACAACTATGGCATTGTGGCTATAGCAATAAAATCAGAAACCATTATAGTGTCAAGGAAAATTGGATATTGACATGCATAACAACCAAAAATGGTGTGTTTGACAAATGAATAAATATATCTGTTGTCTTCTGAAATTTTTGGTTTGATAACAGTAAGGATTGCTTCACAGGCAGAAAACACATAAAATGATAGGGGCCGGGGATTTAGCTCAGCGGTTCGGTGGCCTGCCTTGCAAGCGCAAGAACCTGAGTTTAATCCCAGGTACCAAAAAAAAAAAAAAAAAAAAAAGAAGAAAGAAAATATGTAAAACGGTTTTAAAATCCAAGCAAACAAGTGTTCTGTATCTACTTTAATTCATGGCTATTATTATTTTTGCCAATATTAAAAAAGAACCAAAATTATATCCTTTACTGAAGAAAAGAGATCTCTAATTACAGTATAAACCCTAAGACCAAGCAAATATTTACATAGAGCAAATATTTATTAAATACAACTGTATCTCCACTAACAATAGAAAAGTATGCAACAGTAGTAGCATAGCATTATAATCATCCAAAGATTAATAAAGCTTAATAGTTATACTAGTCAAGATAGAGAGTGTAGGGCATAGTGAAAAAGTAAAATTTGAAAAAAACAAGCAATGAAAGATGAGGAGGGGAGGAAAGTGAAGTAAATGATCCTGTTATAGAGTAAAAGGTAATTAAGAGAATTAGAGAAAAGAAATACAAGGTACCCCCCGCAAACCAATGAAAGAAAAAAATGAGTTGGCCAGTCATAGTTTCCTCTGCCTCACTTTTAGGGCCTATAGGTTTTTGAGGTGCCCTGCCTTCACCAGCAGCCCCCTCTGTTCACACCCCACAGCCTGAGGTTACTGCCCAATCCAAGGACTTGTCCTTGCTCCCATTGGTAAATGGGAAACACAGCCTTCTGGTCTCTGCTGGATGTAGGCTATGGAGTGCGAGTTCAAGTGGACTGTTTTACCTAATGTCAACAGTCGTGGGGTCTAGTTGCTTCCTTATCTCCCCAGGCACTGTCTTCATTCAGTATCAGGTCAGTTGGTTAGACCTCACTTCTACTTGGAGTTTCTGGATGGTCATGCCCTTGTGTGTGTGTGTGTGGGGGGTAATTTTTAAAAGCCGGTTTGTTGAGGTGTAGTTTTCATACTGTAGCATTTCCCTTTTTGTGATGTACAACTTAATTCTATTTAGTTTATTCACAGATCTGTGCAACCATTATCACTATGTAATTTCAGAACATTTACATCACCCTGAAGAAACCCTTACCCACTCAAAGTATTCATTTAATTTTATTTTTCATATTACTTTTACTGTGAAATACAATGTCAATTCAAAGAAATGCAAAAACATATAAGTAAAGTTTGATAAATAATTATAGAGCAAATATGCAATACTCACTCTGGTCAAGATAGGAACTCTGCCATCCAACCATGACCTTGTTCATGTGAAATTTCAGAGGCAATTAATATCCAGATATTTACAAAAATCGTTTCTCAGTTTTCTTTTTAGTTTAACTATCTATGATTATTTTTTTAAATAATGATCTTGGTTTGGTCATTTTGACAGTTGTGTATTTTTCTTACTAGATTTCTCTGCATTGTTCATGAAAGTAGTTTGTCCACTTTCATTCCTGTGTTCAAACATGGGGATTTTCTATAGTCATTAACTACTTACCTGTAGTGTAGCTATCTCTTGAGATAATTGTCAGTAGAGGACTTTGAAATTTACTAATGGTTTATTGCTTCATACCCATTGAATTTTTATAAAAATAATTTATTTATTTTTAAAAAAAGGAGGGTTTACTTTGTTTTTTGGGTCGGAGGTTTCAGGGCATGGGTCCTTGTCTTCATTACTTTGGGCCTGAGCCAAAGCAAAATACCAAAGGAAAGGGGTGATATAGAGAACTGCCCCCCACTTGGCAGCCAGGAGGGAGAGAAAGCCAAAGCATTTCTTTCTTCACATGAGCTTACAGCAAGAATTTTATAGTTTTTTTAGTCTGTTTATAAAAGTTGGCAAATTTGGATGGATATAGCCTATTATTTGGTTCATTAAAGACCACATCTTTTGTGAAGAATCTTGGATTAAAGCTTGATTTTTAGAAAACCAAGTCTAAGTACATTTCTTCCCCACAGATTTTTAATTTAATAAGAACATTATCCTCACTATGGCATTGTGCTCTACCAATAAGTCTATATAATATCTATAAGTCTTTCTACTTATAATGATTACTACCCAAACTAAATAACTTTTATAGATAATGAACTTTCAAAGCTGTTATTTACTGCAACATTCACAATGTTTGTCTTTTACCTTTGACAAAACTAAGTTTGAAAATCATTACTCTGAGTTGAAAACAGTAATTAGATTAAAAAATAAAAGCCTTATTGAAATTAACTCATTTTCTACTTAAACCATATGATATACTGGCATTAAAATTGATTAAAGCCAAGCCGGGCATGGTGGTGCATGCCTGTAATCCCAGCACTTGGGAGGCTGAGGCAGGAGGATCTCTGTGAGTTCGAGACCAGCCTGGGCTACATAGTGAGTTCCAGGTCAGTCTCAAGTACATAGTGAGACCCTGTCTCAAAACAAAAATTTTTTTATTAAAGCCAAGGGTGGTTTTGTCTACCTGTAAAGTCAGCTATTCAGGAGGCTTGGGCAATAGGATAAAAATTTTTAGGCTACCCTGGGCATATAAGCAAGATAATGCCTCAGAAAGAACCTGTGAATTGAGCTCAGTGATATGGTGCTAGCCTAGCATCCAGCATGTGTAAGGTCCTGAGTTTAATCCCCAATTCTAAAAATAATCACAATTTGGTTATTTTGGTGTTATTCTGATAATAGAGTTGACACATCAACAAGTTTGATTTGAGTTTTTATGTATACACAAGACACTTGGAGATAAAAATATCATTTGTTAAAAATAACAGCTATCTCATAGAACTTAGAACTGCATGTTAATATATTTTCTGCAACTGCAAGTGTTAAGTGATGTCTTGGGGTGCAGTCTTTTTTTTTTTTTTAAATACTGACTTTTGAAGTAGATTTAGAAGCTTCTTCAGTTTTCATAAATTTGGTCAGTGGTTGATCTTGGGAACCCATATGTCAACTAATATATATTCATATGTAACATTGGGGGCTATTAGCACTATTAGCACTGATGAGATTCAGAGAGTGAATGAGAGCTGAGGAGTCCCATAGATACTAGGCAAGGAGCCCCAGAGAATCCATGGAAACTGCCTCAAGAGCTCTGGAGAGTTTTCAAAGTGGCCGTGAGCCCTGATTGCTGAGGAGTTGAGAGTGACGGCTGGGAACTGCCAGAAGCAGTAACACAGAGAGCGAAGCGTCACTGGTCCTCAAGATCAGAGCTGTAATACTAAGTGTTTGTTCAAGTTAACTCTCAGTTTCATTGCTATGCTTACTATTTCTGCCTCTCCAAAATTCCTCTGTTGAAACCTAACCACCATGTGACAGTACTATGAGGTGAGGACCCTTAAGAGTTAATCAGCTTATGAAGTCTTTGCCCTCATGAGCAGGATCAGAGCCCTTA